GTAGAGATTCTCTAAGACGTTTTGGTTTTCTTTGCAGCGCCACAACAAACGTTAATCACTCGTTTCACAACAGATCTAACAATAAACAAGACCAATGCAAATACTACTCCTAGAACCAACAATACATCTAGCATGTATAGCTGATAGAAAGGTAGTTCCAGGCCCTTTGGTTTGAGATGAGCCAGGTTACCAACGGCATGGACATATTCTATAAGCTCTGCTGCTTCTTCAACTGGAGTTCTTGGTCGCATTTTCAACACACTGGACAAGTGAGCAGCTGTTTCTTTATACCTGGATTGCAACAGAAAGAAAATAGTTGTCCACTAAGAAGAGTAACGAAAGCGTCAACGTTATCCGTTCATCAAATAAATACCTTTTCTCGGTTAGTACTTTGTTTATCATCTCAACAAGTTGGTCAGCAGTTGTCGTCTGGACACTAAGAGTCTCACCAAGACCAATGTACTCTACACCACGTGAATTATCAAACTGATCTCCAGAGAAAGGCGAGCAGATCATTGGAACACCGTGGTATGCCGTTTCTGCTACCCCACTGGCCCCACCATGCCCTATGAACAGCTTGGTTTTAGGATGACCAAGAATATCGTTCTGTGGAAGCCATCCAACAGTTTTGACGTTTGAAGAAATTTTTCCACCAAATTTTTCTTAAAAAAAGTTAATATTTATTAGTTTTCTCAAAAAATAAAATGTAAAATGTAAAATGAAAATAAATAAAGAAAAGAATAATGAAAAACAAAAAAACATAAACACGCGCCAGACTGGTTTTTGACCTTCTATTCTACCTGTGTTCAATCTCCAAATGACTTTCTGAGGAAGTTTAGAAAACGCTTCGTTCATCGTTTCAACGATTTTATTGTCCAACGTATCCAACATCGATCCAAACGCTACAAGTATCACGCCGTCGTCACCAGAACTCGACATGAACGATTCAAACTCAGGCTGAAGAGGTTTAGCAGGACCAGGCATAAAACTACCAACTTCTTTTACATCTGTGAAATATAATGAATTTATAGTGATAATAACGATAGATTTTAAAAATCATGACTAGACACAGTATGGAATGCAGCACTGTATAGAGTAAATTGGTGACAAAAGAAAGACACCGGTCCCCCAGGGCACTCCTTGAATGTGACGTGAAAGTATCTTCATCTGGAGGACAAAACAAAAGATTCTTGAYCTCAAGGMAACAAGAATCCACTGTTTTSCAATCCAGTTTGAAGCTGCATTCCCATGAACTGCAAGGTTCTATAATATAATTCTATATCTCTTTTTATTTTGTATATGATTGTAGCTAGAGCCCAATACTACTTCTTACTTACAAGGTGGTAAAGGAACGACATAGTCCAACACCAGGTCCCTTTCCAACAAAAGTAAATCTACCGTTCCCAGTGTCTTCCAAATGCTTTCTTCAGGTTTGATGTTGTGTTTTGTTTTCACTGAACTATAAAATCCACGCGCATACATTTCTGCTAAAGCAAACCTTCCAAGATAAAACCCAAAGTTCTTCACTCGATCCAGTAAACCCATGTTTGGAGATAAGCCRGATAACATTTGAGGAACATAGCTCGGATTGCTTGATATACCATAAATCTGAAATATTGGCGTCCCGAGACCACTTTGAGCCACAGCAACATGAGGAATGTCAAACTTTGCAGCAACAAGTGACGAACACATGAAAACTGCATCGCCAACAATTATTTGAGCAGTTTTGAGATTATTTAATACCTTTTCATCACTTAGAAAGCTGTCACAGTAACTTCCCTGTAACGTCAATAAATCGAGGATCTCTTTTTGCAGTGAATACCCATCCTTCACGGTCGAACCTTTTACAAAATTATCCAAGGCACTTGCTTGCTTTGCTTTGAAGACTTTGACGAGTGGCTTTGCTTCGGAGGCGTAATGTGCTCCTTCAAACACGAATATTGAGACCTAGAGTTGATGCAAAAACTTTGATCAAAATTGCTACACTACAACGAAAGCGGCGGATTTTAATGAACGTAATTCAAGTTTTGAGACTAAGWTCGTATGTACTCAAGAATGGTTCAATTCAACCTTTACTAGAAGACAAATCGTAGAAAATACACATTTGTGGGCTGTTGCAATGACAACGTTTTTATGCTTCTTTTGTTGTTGTTGTTGGTGGTGGTAGAGGTAGTGGTGGTATTTTTGCAAGCAGAGTATGTTGTCGATCAAATAAACAGCGATCACGCCCTTTTAAAAAACTGAAAAAAGGGTTTTATAGGATCACTATGTTTTTATATTAATCTAAATTATTAAAACCAGTGTAGACTGTACACCTAATCAGCCATCGTTCTCTTTGACGCTCGTCAAGAAAATCGCGGGCCCGGGTTTTGAGCTTACAGTAGAAATATTACTCTTTCACTTTATCAAAGGTTAATTTAATGCTGGTTTTGAAAAAAAAAATAGATCGTATATAAACAATGCATCTCATTATAAACGTCAACCTTATAAAATSTTTTGTGTTGACCAAAAGTCTACACATGAATTAAACAGAACTAGACGCCCCTGGGGCGTGAAGTCGGACTAGCTATTTTTGAAAATTGATAAACACGAGTGAAAAGATTATGATGTTATATTTTGTCTAATCATATGATATTATGAATGTAAATGAAACTTGAGAAAGACAGCAGGATATTACATAAAATATAAAAATTAGATTAAAATATATATTTYTTAATTTTTCTCCAAAATAGCCGAACTCACGGTCTAATAAGAGCGTCTAGTTCAAAATATCCAAACTCTCTTGAGACTAAAATAAACTTGACCTAAAAGGTCATGTAATTAATACCAGCAATGAACGTTTAAAGGAGTCCTTGCTTTCACTGATAAAATCAAACGTTGGTATGTAGATTATGTGATGCTAAGTGAACGTTGATTGTGATTGCCAGGTTACTTCAAGAATTTTGCACGTGATTGGCTGATTGTTATGGCTTATTCAACGTGGCTTGCTTTGACTGATAAAATCAACTACTCTCAGACAARTGTCTCGCTAAGTGATATCATGATGACCTCTCAGGCAAAGAAAATAAAAACTTTACAAGGAAAAAGATGCCTATCATTAAATTCGCCTTTCTGTTTTTGATAAACAAAGTTTCTTCTTGTTCTAATTTGAAATCTTTGCCCCCACAAGACTGTCTAACACTAGAAAGGATATTGATTCAGTTTTGTAAGCATGCAACGCGAAACTCTATGAGATCTGCACATGCGCGTACTTCTAATGCCGAGACAGATGCACTCCGATGAGATCACAGATACCACATTTGTAAACGAATAGTTTTTTTGTCATATAAAAGCCAAGTAGCATATAATATTTACTAACGATATTCGTACATCAATACGCTTCAGCTTCCGGTCATGTAATAACACAGCCAATCCAAAAGTTAATTATTAAATTCTTAACTTCCGGTGGTCCAAACGCGACATAATACATAGATAGATAGATAGATAGATTGATAGATAGGCTAAAAGGTAAAACTAAAGTCGACCTAGCCTTCGGCTAGTCCGACTAAAAATGAACTCTTTATGTAGAAAATGCGTGTCATTTGTGTAGTGTATTTTTCATAGAATCCCAAACAATATATCAGCTTGCAAGTGAACCGTGAAGTCAATTATTCAAATTTAGCGAACGGTTTATCGAACAATTGTTTCGATGTATGAATCTTTTAAAATGTACTTGGCATAACCCGCCTCACGAAAACAGTAGATCTGGGAAATATTAAAGAATCAATTGATTATGGAGTGGTACAATCTTCCGACCACTCACCTCATGGCCTCTTCTGCTGAGCTCCTCGCCGAGTTTAGTAAGAACAAGGTAGTGACTGGGCCCAAACATCGGTAGCATCACTACATTTACAGCAAAACAGCTTTCCATAAACCACAGAAAGCAGAAGAGAACTAAAATCTTCATTGCAAGACCGTAAATTTAAAGTTGTTGATGGTAACTTATGATGGCAGCTCTTGTTGTTTGCAGTTGACTTTACCGTGACCACTATAGTGTTACGTTAACTTGAGGCAGGCGTTCCTCGTCCACTAAGCTTCATACTTTATTTTATTGTGATGTTATACAACAGCTATTTGGAGGAAATAAAGGTCAAAAGACTCGTGACTTGAAGAAACGTTCCCTCCCGAT